AAATTAAAAATAAAAAGGAAAACCATGACACCTTATCATAGACCTGTGGGTTTGGATACTTGAAATATTCTCAATATGCGCAGGTGGATGCTAGTATTTCAGAGTGTATGCAGAGGTTTCTGATGGTTTGTCGATTGTAGTACTCCCTTGCTCATCTGACTTGCTAGTTAATGTGTTGACGCTTCGTCAATTCAATGTCATGCTGGTGAATCCCCGATCTGCTATTTTGTATGCTCTAGTTTGTTATTTAAAAATTAACACTAAACAGAAGATAAATACTTCAATACTTAATAACTAACACCAAACAACAGTCGAGGCAAATGTCTTTGCTGAAGGGTAAACAGAAAATAGAAATAATAATTTTATTTTTTAAAATTATTTTATTACTATTTTTGTTGAAATTAATATTTTTTAGTTAATATTCAATTATCAAAGCCTTTTTTTTCAATTTATTTGTCATATAAATTATAACAATTAGACATTTATGATTGATTATATAGATTATTTCATAAATCATTATAACATGGAATAAAAAATTGTGGGGTGGGCTACTCCACACCATGCTTAAAAAATGTCATTATGGGTGTGAATTGGTCCAATCTACATAGTTCATAGTTTGTCTACATAGTGTGGTATAAATTGGCTCTTGCCATAAGATGTGGTGTGGACCGATCCACACCACCTAATTTTTCATCCACACTACAAAACCCCATTAACTACCAAGTCGAGAGTGAGAGAAATTTAACAACTTTATTTATTAGTACTTAGTAGCATATCTGGATTCCAACCCTAACCCACCCGTGTTTTTCCACTCTAGGAAAGACCCCAATGACCTGCCATGAGTATAAGTTAATTCTTATTTGACACGTAGAAAATAGCTAGACCACCTGAAAGCACAAACAGAAGTCTCTTCCGTCATAGCTTGGGATCTTTTGTCTACCTACTGTTTTTTTTTTTCGGTTTTGATTCATTAAGACTGCTTCCTATTCCTACCCAAATATTTCTGTCCAGCTCCAGCTCTTCTAAGAACCCTACTTTGTACATCACTCATTACTTAATTCGAGTGCGTGATGCTTCACCCTACGTTAACAACTTGGGTTCCACTTAAACAACCATTTCTTTCATAATCGATTTGGCTTTTATTAAGACTTTGGGTTTCTTTATATTTTCATTAGGAATCATCATATTCTTTTAGTAGGCAAATGTTCCCGGTTCTTGACTAAAAAGAAGGATATGCCATTTGACTGTCTTTACAACTGTTTCTATATGAGAAAAGGTAGAAAACAAAACAACAAAGCTTCTTTAATAGAGTGCAAATTTTCTTTTATTTTATTTTCTTTTTTTTTAATAGAAGGAAAGTGTTTACCCAACCAGGAGAAATATGATTGAAACATATAACTAGGGGTGATGCAGTAGAGATGGATCTGCTGCTTGCACTGCTGTGTCAAAAAGTAATATGCCAGATACACTGAGCCTAGATGAACAGATCCCAATCCCAATTCAGTAGTCAATATCGAAAAAGGCTTAGCAAAGGATTGAACCCACAAAGCCGACTCATTTCTTGCCTTGTTTGCTCTTCATAAAAATGGGGATCTCCCTTCTAATACAAGAGTTAGATATAGTTAGACTAATGCCATGCTTTCCATTGGATACCGGCTATCGTTTTAAAGTTTATAGTTTATACAAATACAATACAAACGGTGAAGAAGGAACCTACTTCAGTGTAGCAAGTTCAGAGCATTAGATACATCTATGGTTTTAAAATCATTGTTGACCTGGACCGTTGGACCATTCGGACTGGAAATCGGTCAGGAGACTGGTTCTATTTTTACTATATATATTTAAATTATCATAGGCCAATCTATTCAAACTGTACAGTTGAACTATTGATCCAAAAAAACCCGTGGCTAAAACGTTTCCAGTTACAGATGGGATTTAAAAACATTGGATACACCCTACAAGGAACAAGACTTTTGATAAGGTTGAGTTTTTACATGATCCCCATTCCAGAGCGCTGCTGCTCATTTTATGGCTACCCAGATTTGTTGTAATCTGGGTAGTTTGGTAATCCTCCTTTTGCTTATTGGATTTTTTGGAGCTTCGTGCTTCCATATGATGCTGTTCTAGGAATGAATTTACCAAAAAAGGGAACAAGACGCATAAGCATTTTGAAGGGATGAGGTGGCTTAACAGAATAGCTTATTATACCTTAATGGCTGAATGACATGTTGGCTTGATAACTATATCCCTAAATATTTTATGACAAACCAATAAGTTATTTAATTCAGCTACTTCAGCCATTGCCAGACGGCCCTTAGTAATCTTATAATCCATCAGCCTTTTTTTTGGATAGATATTAACTGTTTAAACCTAAAACGGTGTATTTTGAATCCTTAGATAGGTTAATGTTCAAGCACCCTCCAATTTTACTTCAATCAGAAAGATGATAATTAAAAAGTAAAACAGGATATCTGATTTAGAATTCCATTCAAGATAAAAATATTCCCAACGAAATTAGTTTGATTCCATTCAAGATAAAAATATTTCCACAAACCAATTTTGAAAGCTCAAGATTCCATTAAAGATAAGGCGGCTAGTAACACCAGATCATTATTATGTTGTTAGTGTGAACAGCAGCAAGATACTTTCTTCTATCTGTTTTTTAAGTGTCTATTTGCTAGGGCAGTATTGTTTTTTTGGTATTAATCAATGCCTGAATGCTTCACTGGGGCCGTTAGTTCTTCTATGAACAGTATAATATCACATCAATAACCAGTTTTGTATTACACAATTCTTTTTTCTTTCAAAGGCAATGGCAGTGAGACTCGAAGCCACATCTTAGTTTCTTAGTTGGGACAAATCATCCAACGTACCAGCTGGGCTATCCATCAGTTGGCTGTTAGGGCAATTTGGTGCCAGGCACAAATAGGCCTTAACCCAGAGTTGTTGCGGCTATGGTTTTTAAAACTAACCCAGAGACCGAATTGGTCAGGGGTCTGGTTATTGGGTCAAACAGTTCGATCGTTCTAACAAAAAAAATAAAAAAATTAGGAAAAAATAAAAAAAATCTGATCAAAACCGTTCAAACGGTTAATTGCCCGGGTCAGCGGTTTCCTGACCAAAATCAACGGTTTTTATGAAAAATCCAGTTTTGGGGAAAACTGGAACCGGTCCCAATTTTTCCAGTCCGATCGTCTGGTTTTGAAAACCATGATTGCGGCCCAAGCCTCTACATCAAACCATACAAGACTGGCTCAATCACCTCAAAACATCATTCATCAAACAAGAAATAGATAGGTTGTCTGGTAGGCTCTGCCTTCTTTTATACCTCATATGGGAGGAAGAAATAAGAACATCTTTGATGGCATCCAAGCATCACCTTCAAATATTATTTACAAAGCCGCAACCTATCTCCCTGATGAAAACATGCAAACACATTCAAATCAGCCAACACACTTAACCTTATGCATATTCCACCGGGCCATGTTTTGATTTACATTGATGGCTTAGTTTGGAAGGAGTATAAATACAAATTTGTAGAGTGCAAAACTGAGACGATGGTTCATATTTTGTATGTGTTTGCACAGTACACATTTGTATTTGTACTCCTACCAAACTAAGCCGATGGTTCATATGATCCTTCTTCAGGTCTTCCAGGACAAGCTTTCGTCTTCAAACACCCCAACAATGGTCACATACATGCACAAGGGAATGCATGCTGTGCATGTGGAAGTTATGAACTTACGGATTTGACCCAATCCGATTCAGTCCAGTATGAGTCTATTATAAATGGATCAAGTCCAATCCAATCTAATGAATATTTTGGACCATTTTGGACCGATCCAATTCAATGTCTAGACCGTCCAATCTGTTCAAATTCGTTAGATTGGTTTCAACCCAAATCCGGTCCATTGACACTTATATTCTTATCTTACATCTATGGACCAGATATTGGCTTAATCAAACCCAATCTAATATAAATTTATACGGATGGGCCAGGTCCAATCCAATCTAATAAATATTTTGGACCGGATTGATCCAATCTAATGTTTTGTTGCTCCGTCCAAATTGATTTTGGACTGGACATAGTCCAATCCAAAACCGGTCCATTGACACCCTTTATCAAATGACTCTACTCATACCATTTGGATCGAGCAACCATCCTGGAGTGACATTAGAAGACTAACCTCAACCTTTTCTTCTATACAGTTTAACCAATTGGCTCATCTTTTTGCTTTATTTGCTTGTCAAGGTTTCTGTTTTAAGAAATGAAGTTGGAATATCTCCTTTTTCTTACGCACTTCTCTCTTTCTATTACAGTCTTGAGACTTTGTTAAAACAGGCGATAGCCCAGAACCCTATTGAATCAGATGAGCTGGGTACCATCTTGTGTATCCTATGCTGCTACAGCAGCTAAATAGCTTCTGTTTCTCAAATGCTGACAACTGTTATGGCATATGCGAAAACTTCAATGAATCATTTCCATATTGCTCTACTTTCGTTTTTTCACTTTTTGTATTTTGTTTTTGGGTGAGAGCTTTACTTGTAAACTAATAATTACCACATATTCCAGAGACATGGCACTTGACAGAATGGAATGGCAGAACAGGATTCATGCAGCCCCGTGTTGATGAGACAAAGCTCATATAACGATGTAATGATATTAGTAATTTAGCTAACTAAACTAGGCCAGTTCTGCCTTATATTGGCATATAAAAGAAACTAAGAAAGCACATACAGATCCAAACGGTTCAAACTAGATACCAGGAAAATTTTCCAAGGAAAACAAAGAAATGTTGACATTAGCATAATGATCATGAACTGGGTACTGTCTATTTAACAATTTTCAGACAATTCCAATTACTCTTTTGATCTGCTTCCAAGTTTGATTGAATCTGCTTTTAGTATTTTATCCATTAGGTGTTTCGCTTCTTTTGTTGTACTAGGGTGTTGTCTCATCACCCTTTCACTTCCTGTACTACATTTCTATTTTAATAATATGCTCTGAATGATTTGTAATCAAAGAAATCAAATACCAGTCGGCCACACAAGATAGTTCTCCAAAAAGAAGCCATTTTCCCCCGTCTTCTGAGGAAATAAAAAGGATTAAACTAATCGCTTGCTTCACTGGTTATTACAAGTCTGGCAGTGGAGCCCTGAACATCAATTTTCCTTTTGGATCAAGATGATTCCCTCTACGGGTAGACTTAAACTGGATAATCAAACCCTGCATTTATATACAATAACCACCTTAGAAACTAATCTCTCGCCTTTCCGCAAAAAATTTTCCTGCCACTGGCTGTCCTGATAGCAGTGAAAGCCAGACTCCTGTATCTGCACCTTCTTTAGCTGAAATGTTCCCTTGCCATCCTGTCATAGCAGTTTTCACCCAACCTGGGCAGTAGCAATTCATATGGATCTTTTGACCCTCTGGCCGGCTGCAGAGTGTTCTTGCCATTAGCCGAGTATAAGCATTGACAACAAGTTTTGATAGAGAGTAGTCAGTAAACATTTGAGGCCAGCCGCCTGATGTCCAATTGCCATGTTTCACTTGTTCAAGAAAACAAATCACAGTTCGATCTATCAGTTCTATGGAGAGGGATTCCTCATCAGCTAATTGCTCCCTCAAAGTTGCATCTCCAAGCCTCTGTCAAGATTTAGTACATATTGATTATTGTGATATGGAGAAAGGTTTCAATATATAAATTCTTGGCTTCAGTTTAGAAACTTAAAACACAAGTTCAGTACCACACAATGACATTGAAGAAGTGGCAGCAAATTCAGCATATATATATAACTCAAGCCCTTCATGGAATCCAATCTTATAGAAACAAAAATGTACAACAAGCTACCAAATGTACTAGTGACTGGCTGCTTATTTATGAATTATGACTGGAGGTGTGTACCCTGTTGTACACTTCTTGTTTCTAACAAATCCAGAGCCCTGTTGTACCATCTATCTATATGAAAAGCTAGCGTATCTTAAGGCTGTGTTTGGTTTGATAGAAAATAAGAGAGAAACACAAATTATTTCAGGAAAAGAGAAAAAAAACAGACGAATATCAAAAAGAAAAAAAAAAAGAAAAGCCACAGGCAGGAAAAGGAATGAGAAATTGTTTACTCACATTTCGCCTGCCATTAAGTCTACCAAGTCTGGAGCTGACATTCACAATACGAGCCCCCGGAGAAGAATGTTTCATCAAGGGTATCATAGTTTCGACCATCCTTTTAGTGCCAAAATAGTTGGTCAAGATAACCTTCTCAGCAAATTCAACTGAATTATTTGACCCAAGATTATAATTAACACCTGCATTATTTACCTGCCACAGGTTTTTTAACACAAAGTTGGCTCTCAAGTGATAAGAGACTTGAACTCTTTACTTCTTTTATCAAATAGTTGACAAAATGAGCAAAAGAAAAGATCAATAACTGAAAGAAAAAAAAGAAGAAACGATACTTGACAATGGCATCCTATAACTCTCCAATTAGAAGACATACCTCAACATTCAAATACCAACAATGCACCCAGACCAATAAATCCTACATTGGATTCAACGCAGACCCTGTGCGCTAATTTACGTTTCATTGCACACAACACACCTAACCTATACAAAGCATATCTTTCAACCAGATCTCTCTCTCTCTCTCTCTCTCTCTCTCACCAAAGTTATATACCAAAGAAGAGTTGATGGAAATCAAGCCAATTGCAGTATACGAATGATAAAAGGGCAGGCAAGGTTGAACCAGTGACAGAAAGTGAGCTTAAGAAATTCTTGTAACTTCTAACAAAGATATGGTCTATGCACTGTTACAAATCACAGTAAGTATGTAGAGGCAAGCCTAAAGCTAAAAAAAGGGCAGCCCAGTGCACAAGGCTCCCACCAACGTGGGGCCTGGGGAGGGACAGATGTACGCAGCCTTACTGCTACATATACAAAGAGACTGTTTCCAAGATTTAAACCCTGGTCACCCAGGTCGCAATGGATAAACCCTACTGTTTCCAAGAGGCAAGTCTAAACTTTAAAGCATCTTACCAAAATATCGATACCACCAAAGTTCTGATCCATCCACTCAGCAAATTGTTTGACAGATACAGGGTCCAGAATGTCCAATTGATGGAAGGCAACATTTAAGCCTCCCTCCCTTAAAGCAGTGGTTGCTTCTTGGCCCTTGGTGATGTCTCTTGATGTTATAATCACTTTCAGACCATGTCCTGCAAGTTGCCGAGCAATCTCATATCCGATTCCTCTGTTTGCCCCAGTCACCACAGCAACTGTTTCTGAGCTCCACCACCTACAAGCATCCAGACGATGTAATGCAAAAGCATCATTAAGTTTTACACAAACGAGGCAAATATTCACATAAATAAATAGAGCCAGTCAAGCATGATTGCACAGGCTGTTTGTTCTACCTTCAAAACAAATAAATTATATTAATCAATTAAAATCATCCAATCAGAAGAGTTTTGGCATAGATAATCACTTGGGTGGAACTTGAACCCATTCAATTGTGTCTCAATGCTCTGTTACATTTGTGAATTAATTGTTTAGAGCTTGAGGTAAAAGTCCATTATAGTTCCAGCTTTTTGCAACATTACCCTTCCCCAATCTGTATCTTTCTTTCTTTCTTTCTTTCTTTATTTTTACAATCCCACCAGAACACTTCCTTGTCAAGTTTTAATGCAATTCTATATGATTATGTTTTGTAAGTATAGATTCCATAAAAGACCAGTCCAATCCAGACTCTGTTTACTCAAAAAAAAAAAAAAAAAGGAGGCTGACTCCATAATTCGTAAGGAACCCAGTTGTGGGGTTTTGGGCAATGGCGAACAGTTTGCCACTTGCCAGGCTTGATTTTGCCTCCGGATTTTAAAATGGATTTCTCTTAATAGAGTGTATTCTGCAATCCCATCCGAAAACTTCTTTAGCATGTAGTCCATCAGATTTATTGATTATGGCTATTTTTCTTTTTTAGTGTTCTTGATTATGGCTAAATCAACCAACCACTCTCAGTTGGTTTGGCAGCTCTGTATGGCACTAAAGAATTGGGTTCTACCAAAATTTACTAGTTTTTGGCCGAAATTATGTGCACTTATTCTACTTCTGCAGCTGATAATGTTAATTGGGTAAGATTTCCTGCGGATTCTCAAGCGAAGCAAGAACCCCACAGGTGCTAGTTAGGGTTTGGAATGATTATAAAAAAAAATTACAACAAAATAAAATTTCCCGAAATTTTCAGATAACATGAAGCACCTGTCCTCAGCAGCATAAGGGATTTTCCTCAGTTCAGTTATCTCCTGGAGTCTCTTTTCTCTCCGCTCCTTCGCCCGCTCCTTTCTCCCCATCGCAACTTTTGTTTTTTCAACCTACTCCACGGTGTTCATCTCTCTCTCCTCTTGCACGTGTTTTCGTGTCTCATTCGAATCGAAGTAAATGCAGGAAATGATAACCCTGCGAAGGGGCAACAAACAGAGCTAAAGGCCATCTATTTCATGGAACCTCTTTCCATTGATAATGCATGTGATGTGGCTTAATCCGGATGCTCCCTGCTGGATATGATCTAATTGCCATCACTTATAATTCTGCCTCCTTTCCTGCTAAAAATGTGTTCTATGCACCTTTTAGGTGTTAATAAACTAAGCCTGAAAAAACTTAAAGCCTCTATTTTGGGGAAGAAAGTTGTATATATGTTTCTGAAGCTCAATCTCCTACCCTCGAAATGGAATTCTTTGATTGCTACAAAAACGAGAACAGAAAATGTAATGAACATAACAAAAACTATTAATGCCTGCTTTTAGAAGCTGAACCATCATCATCAAGCTAATTAACACCTCAAGTATTAGATAAGCTAAAACCACAGCACTGGTTGATAGCGGGAAAATATCTTATAAATCAAAATTTTACCTGCATGTTTGCTTTGAATTTCGAAAATTACAAAAAAAGAAAACTCCACATATGTGCTTCAATCTGTCAGAACAACAAGAACACCACCCATCAAGCCCATGCCTGAATTTGCTAAATAGAAGAAAAGCGAACGTAGGGTTTCCTTTTGATAGAAAACCGAAAACAACCGACTACACTTCCTATGCAGCCATTGTCGGTCGGGTGCGCCGTGCGCGTAAAACTGAACCAAATACGATTTGTAGCAAGCATCGGGCATCAGCTGCACTTTTGGGTACCCTAAATTTCGCGGGTAGTGACACTCAGCCCACTGAACTTTGTTTTGTAACAATCCCATAAAATTTTGGATTCCAGCACTTTGCCCCCCCCATCATTAAGCGAGTAAATTTTAGGATTTCTTAATGATGCAAATAAGTGTGAATGTAAATATATATAGTGTAAAATAGTTTATATAAATTGTAAAATTGGGTTAGTTTTGCACCGGACTTCTTACCAAACAAACTTTTAGTTGTAATGGATGCAAACATGAATTTCAATAAAGCATAGCACTTTTATATCTTATTTATCAATGTAAATATGCATTGGTCTGTCATTCGTCAATGCATAAATGTAATGTTGCCAAGGTGATAGTACGCGATCTGGATGCTCTTAGCTAGAGGGCAACTTGAACGTCGGTCTGGCTAGTTGAACTGCAAGGAAGTAACACTCAAAGAACCCGAGGTGGCTTACCTGGCGTGGGTACTCTAATGCTTAAGTCAACACTCTTGGTATGCGAGTTGAAAGCTTGAAAGTAAGTAAGTGAGCAATTAATTGCATGTACCTTGTGACGTTGGGGTTGGTGCCCTTATATAGGTGAGCTGCCATAGGCTTTATGAAACACCTCCGAGATCCCCRGTTCGTGCTAGGAATCTGTTCCATACTAGGAGGTGGACTTTGTGTTAGCTAATAAGGCTCATCGAGTCCGTCTGATCCGGGTGGGATAAGGATAAGGCTTGTAGACGTACGGTGTGATCCCGGAAAACTTGGAGACAACTGACTAGTTTTTAGAGGTTGGTTACATGTCACCTTGGCAGGTTGGGCCATCACGACCTGCTCGGATCTTGGTCTCGCCAAGGTGCCCGAGGTACCCAAACTGACCTGGCTCACTGAGGTGGCAGGGAATGCCGAGTCGTCATCCTGTCAATAGGTTGCTTCCATGTGTCCAGGTGTTTATAGGTCAAGCCGAATTACCCCTCATCAATAGGCAAAAGTGAACCAAAGTGCAAATTTACCTTGAACCGAGATTTACACTCCATTTGCATTGTTTCCAAACGTAGCCTAAATTTTGCCCATTTAATTTAGTTAATGTTTGAACAAGTATTTGTATTTATAATTTTCGGAGTAAAAAAGTATTAATTATGCTATTATTGTATACTTTTGTAGTTTGATAAATATTATTTTCGAAACAAATGTTCAAGTTTTTAAAGGTAAAAAGCATAAATCAGTGTTTGGCTATTCCATGTTATTTTATCTTATGTGACATGATGAATTCCAACTTGTTAATTATTTCTTAAAATTTATAATATAAAAATATCACATGATCCATAATTGTATTATGTGAAACAAATTAATGTCACATAGCATATATTTTGTTACATTTGTGAATACCATGCCATATTTTGCCATGTGACATATTTGTGGCTGTCATGGCATATATTTTACTGTTTCACAAATTTGTCATTATGCCACATAATATATTTATGGGCATCATGACTTATAATTGTAACATGTGCTACAAATTTTATCATGTGAGACATGTTGAAGCTTTTTTTTTGTCAGAGTACAAAAATACTTCAAAATAATTTATCTAAACATAACCTTAGTTTTTCTTCTGAAGTCCTAACTCGTACATGCTCCCCTCAACTTTGTTCATCTCAAGATTGCCAATGATTTGTGCTTTAAGATTGCTATTTTCAATTTTATCACATTGATATTTGTTGTTGTTAAATTCACAAAATCTTGAATCAACAATTTAGTAATTTTACTTGTACTGTCAACTACGTTAACAAATTAGCAAAGGTACCAGAATTTAAAAATCTTGGTGATTATCTATAATTTACCACCTCCTAAGTACGTGGTGATTATCTATAGTTTACTTTTTTTCTGTACTTCCATTCATTTTGATGTCCGATTCTTGATTTTATTAACATTAAATTTATATTGTAAATAAATAAAGTTGGACAAAATTGATGAGGGGTGATTTGACCAATCAATCGTAGGGTGACATGTGTTGTATCCAAATCATTTGATGACACCTCAGTACCATGTGAGATGAATGCCTCGACTTGAGGTGACTGACAAGATGTCTTGTAACATGGCAACGCATACCACCTCGACTACAAAGGACAACCTACATTCCTCCTTTGACCAGGGAAGCCATGATCTAGATGATGCGGCACGATCCGGACACTCCTAGCTGGCTGCTGACTGGCTCCTAACTAGCAATGGACGACACCTGAGAAGAAGAAGGTGAAGGATTCCCGAGGGATTTGCCCAGCGGGAATACTCCGAATCTTAAGTTAGAATGCCAGGGGATAAAGTAAAGAGTGTAAAGAGGCTAAGAGTGTAGGTCGCGCTAGATCACTGAGTTCTCAAGATTAGCTCGAGAGCAAGTAAGATGACTCAAAATCAGATTTGATCAGAGATCCTTCTCCCCTTCGACTAAGGATCTTTTATAGGGCATTCTTGTCAATCGGGCATAACCGCCACTGGGCTTTTGTCGTACCCGTTACCTGCCAGGGCTGCATAGGTGACCGTTGTAGGGTACTACCCAATTGGATGGGTGACTCATCCTGGGAGGGCAGGCATGCCACCATCTGTCGAGAGACGTGGGTATAGTCTGCCGAATGGACTGGGATTGCGCCGTCAGTCAAGAGACGTGGCGCAATCTGACGGGTACGGTCTTGTCAGATAGAAGCTTCCTGAGAGCATCACGTTACTTAGTCGCGAGCTATCTTGTCGCGAGCTACTTTGTAGCGAGCTCCCAGGGATGCTTCGAGGTAACCCTCATCGAGATTGTCTTTAGGGCAGTCTTTCTGCCTAAGTGTTGGAGCGAACTGGTCACCCTAGCTCGCAAGTTGAGATAGTCTCGGAGTATTCCCTTTCAGTAGCTCGGGGGACCTCGAGCTCGCATTGTAGCAAGCTCCCCCTATAGCGAGCTATGACGTAGCGAGTTGTCCTACAGGCTCATTACTTAGTCGCAGTTAGGTTGTGGTGTTGAACTGTTGCTCGTGCTGAGACAGGTCCACGTGTCATTGTCTTAAGGGGTCGGGTCAAATCACCTCCATCAATTGCCCCTCACTCCTTGGGCTAAGAGTGCTACCTTAGCGTGAGGAGTTCATGAAGTGTGACGGGTGGATTTGACCAAAATTCAAACTTGATTGACTGCTTGCATTAAATGCGTGCGCAGAGGTGAGGGGATTTCTGACGTTTCGAATGCCGAAAAATGTGTCGAAGCGGCTCTTAACTCTAGATGTCGTGCAGCCGTCATTACCTCAATCATGGGAGACATGCAGCCAGTCACATTTTGGTTTCAGAAGACGTTCGGTCAGCTTGACTGCAAATCGTCAGATCTATTTCAATCTAGACCGTTGATCTAGGGGCACAACGACTATAAATAGGAGGGCTCCCAGGCCTCATTTCCTTTCACGCTAACTTTCTGTCTTCGGATTCTGAGGTCGCGCATGCATCTAGTTTGCCCGAGCTCTTCTGTTCACACCGTTTCATCTTTCCAGTGAGTCTCATTCATTCTGCCAATCATGTTTGAGTATCCGTACCACGCTTATCCCCCTCGAGCTCACGGAGAGCTTGGGAGTAGGCTCCAGAGGCTTGGGAGGTCTCCGACGATGTGGCTTCTACTTCTTGGGGCAGAGAGCCCGACACCTTCGGTCCCTCCTCTATGACGATGGAGAGACTCAGATCTCTTGTCCGCTACTTTCACCTTCCTGGGGACCTTATCTACGGTCTCCCCTCTGGTGACTTTCCCTGGGAGCATGATCCCAATGACACAGTAATTTTCCAGGAATAGCTCGAGGCTGGCCTGCGTCTTCCCCTACACCCCCTAATAGTGGAGGTGTTGAATCATTTTAACGTCACCATTGACCAGTTCCATCCCAACGCCATCCGTAATGTAGTTGGGACTATTTCCCTGTGCTATGAGTATTGTCTCCCCCTTGATCTCGATATATTTTCTTCCATTCTCTTTATTAAGAATGCCACTCTCGGAGCGCCTCCGGAAAGGCGTTCTTATTACTTTTCTCCCCGTCGCGGCTTTAAGCTCCTGCCGAACAGGGTTCCTGCCTGGAAGCGAGACTATTTTGTGGTCCATAACCCTGAGGGGTGGCCCTTCCCGACCTCTTGGAGGGGCGCCATCCAGGACCCCGGGGTTGAGTTGGACCCTGAAACTCGAAAAGCGCTGCTGTCCTGGGTAGCTGTATGCCTTCTTTGTTTAGATTACTAGACCAAGGAGAAGCTCGCGCAGGCTAGCCTGAGTCCAGGTAGGTCGCCTTTTAGGTCACGTAGTGCCTTGTAAAAATATATCATATATTTTCTTTTTTTACTGGACTAATACCTTGTGGTTTTTTGGCAGGCATCATGTTTGGTGTTGACGCGCGCCGCCTTCTTTCCAACAACCAGAAGCGTAAGGCTAAGAGGTCGCGTCCTGACCGAACTCCCAATTTTGGGGGCACTGAGTTTGAGTCTGCTGAGCCAGACTTTGTTTCTCCACTGCCCGAAGTTCCACTGGCCCCATCTGAAGGAGGCGCCGGAGAAGGTGGCCCGGCGCCTCGAGGAGGGCGAGCTCCCTAGGCAAGGGGTGATTCCTCCTGGTCCTTCCCGCYCATTCCCCTACCCACAGTTCCCGGTAGGGAGCTGGGAGGGTGTCAATGACTACATTGTGGCTGGGCGGAAGAGCCAAAGGGCAATCTGCCATGAGGAGGTCGCTAGGTGGGGGGAGATGGAGCCCAAGGCACTCGCCGCGTTTGCCGCCTCTCACTGTATGGTGGTAAGTGGTCTTTTCTTTTTCTCCTCGTTCTTTCCTTTCTTTTGCTGTTTTCTGACCTTAGTCTCTTGTTGGCAGGTGAACACCGCCATCCATGCCATGGCCATCCATACCAACATCCACTCCGACGACGCTCGCAATCAGAGGGCCATCGTCCAGAAGCTCCAGGGCAAGCTTGACCAGGCCCAAGGCGAGGCTCAGGAGCTGCTTGCCCGTGACCAGGAGGTGCAAATCGCCAGGCTTTCTGAGGAGAGTGCGTGCTACAGGGAGGAGTTGTTGAGGGTGGTAGCGGAGAGGGAGCTCCTTCAAGGAATCCCAGGAGTAT